GTCCCCAGTAGGGGGCGTGTGAGAGGCAACCACCCATTGATGTTTTTCTCCTACTCTTTCTCCTTCAGTGCCCCCTCTCTAAAAATAAATGAAAATCTTAAAAAACAATACTGTCCCAATGCATGAAATACCTGTCACAGAGCTGCAGGCTATAGCTTAGACTCCCTCGCAGTCTTTCTGGAGTGTGCTTCTCCCATGGTGATTTACAAGTTCAATTCCTGCCTTTCTAGCCCCTGACACCAGAGGTGGGAGTGGAGAAAGCTGTTCAATGAAAACAGTCTCTGCAACGTGAGGCTGGGAAGTGCCAAGCTGCATTGCCATGGCAACAGTGTTTTCATAATGAATATTTTCACTCCTCCTCTAAGGTAGTGGGAGATGGCGGAACAATAATAAGATGCTCCACAGGGAGCAAGCGCAGGCTCTCTGCAAAAATCACTTTGTCTGGAGGTGATTGTCCGAGGCTGCCGTGGGTGAGAAGGGGCGCCGCGAACCCCCCCTTAGCTCTCAAGGATGTTGATGTACGTGTTCATGCCAGGGAACCTTGGATGTCTCCTCTTCCACTTTTAAAGACTGCCAGTTGCCAAGCGTTTTACATGGCTCCGATGATCCTCAAAGAAGCCCAGGGCATCATTGAAAGATTGATTGAAGGAAAGTGACCCAAACAAAGCATGTGAAAAACAGACATCCTGGTCAACCTAGAGCTTCTGTGATGGGTGCCTCCAAGTTTGGTGGAAACTCTTCCTAATTGGGCTATTTCGTTCCCTCACTTCTTAAAGTATCAAGTCTTCAGGAGAAAGCTTATGAATTGAAGTTCTGTAAGACAGCTTGCTTTCGAATGCTGTGCAAATAGTTTCATGGGAGAGTTAGGATATCAATTTCTATAAACAATTCCACATTTACGGGCCGAGGAGTTATTTTTTGATTGTTTGAATTGCATTAGGTTTCTCCCAATGCAGTAGGAAGGCCTATCCATTGTATTTTTCAGAAGAAAGCTGGTTTTCACAATATTATTCACGTTTTGTAAACAGCCTCAGTGAACCAGCTCATAAAAGGTTAAATGTTTGCAGACCATTCTTTTTTGCCTCAAAGATCAGAGACAAATTACTATTTTTATTTTCCATTCCCTTGATGAGGATAATGCTAACCAGCTGCCACTCAGCGCTTAGACGGCAAAGAATCCCATTGCAACCCTATAATTTAAACAAAGAAAAAGCATAGTCATACGCAGCGTACAACGCAGAAAAGAGCACATGGGTGAATTCGGTTAGAGCTGGGGTTAGGGAAAAGGGGGTGTCCGCTTTCTGCAATCACTCAGTTGGAAGAAAAATTTCATCTATGTACGTTCTCCCCATCTTAGGCATGTTAGAAGGGGCCAGGATTCCTCCTTTCTCCCGAAAATCAGGGGGAGAAATGCTTTCTGAATTCTGTGATTCCCATCATGTCCATGCTGTTATCAGAAGACTTAAGACTAGCATATGGCCACATGGCTGCTAGTATTTCCAGAAGCCAAAGAGAATTCCGAACGGGTCACTGGTTATTCTGGAGCGCTGAGTGTGAGTGTGTGTGTTGAGAATTAAACTGTTCAGTGTTCTCCATTCACTTTGCTTAATTGCATCCTGTTTCAAAGAGGGAAAGTAAGGGTCTTTTGCATATTTTGGTAATGCAGAAAAGTGAGGCTAAGTGCTAAGGATAGTGTGGAATGGAGACGGTCAATGTACCTCTTTGAAAATGTAGGTGCTGATGTCATTTTCCTGGCGTTCCGTATTCCTGGCGGTTCTTTTAGTAAATGCTACTTATTCCGCTTTTCTCGTTCGGCCCCATCACTTATTTTTTACACATGTCAATGCTTCAGTGAGACATCTTTTTCCTAGAAACCCATTTTCACATTTATTATTTTATCTGCGAAACTGACTTGCTAGAGTAATAGATGTTGCACTGTTTCATAATACTTCTTGATTTTTTTTCATACCTAGGGAAAAATAGACGCTGGCTTACCGTTGCATTCATCCCACATTTATTGAATGAATAGGCTGTCACTGCCCCAGCATGCTCTTCAACACATGTGCAAAACGGCACCCACCTCCCCAGGGTGTGGCGTGGGCCTTCCATGCAGGGTGTGGTGTGTAGCCCAGCACCTAGAGCAAAGTCAGTGTTTCAGAGGCACGGAGTGTGTCAGTTCTGAAAGGCCCTCACCCCCTACCGTTAACTACAGCGGCAGAATGGTTTAGATGAGGGATGAACTGCGTGGTTTCCATTACAGACATCTCCGTTGCTTCATATACAAGATGCTCTCCTCACAAAGCCCTGGGGCATCTGTTCTCACTGACCCACGCGGTTTACTCGTCGTTTTTATCACCCTTATCGTGACCACGTCGTCAGGGATCCTAACTCATCAACTGGGAGGTTGTCTGGTCTCCAGCCTCCACAACAAGTAGACTCGTAGACACTCCTGGAGGCCCTGGGATGGATGCATTGGACGGTGGATTTAACTCCTCCTGCTTCTTCTCCTTCTCCCCTGTATCAGGCTCTATGCTGAGAAGGGGGAGATAAACCAGCCCCCGGAGACTAAAGTGGGGGGAGCCTAAACGCAGGCTGGATAGTAAGACATAACAGTGAGCACGACACACAGGCGAAGTGCAGAGTGGGGAGTGCTGGGGGGCTGTGCGCACTGCGAGGCTGGCCGGAGGGGGGCTTTGAAAGATGCAGAGTCTTCGCAGGTGGGAGCAGGGGAGCCCGAGGGGACCAGCTGGCAGAAAACAAACGAAAAAATATAGCTTGCCATCTTTATATCACTTGAATTGTCCATGTTTTATGCTCATATTTTCCCCTTTTAATTTTCAAAATGTGTGTTGAGAGTCCAGCAGCTCCCTGTTATTCAGAAATGAATACTCAGAAATTCATATTTATTTATTAAGTACCCACAGTGCCTTTGGCTAGGTCATTTCATATGCGTTATCAGATGCGTTATTTAGCCTCCAGAAGTTTTTTCCCAGGAAGTGTATCCCCATTTTAAGACAGGGAAGCTGAGTCTCAGTTACATTAAGTAACTGAAGTGGGGCCATCCAGCCAGGACTTGACAGGGCCTGAATGTGAACCTCAGGTTTTTAAATGTGTTCTTTTTTAAATAGTTTATTTATTTATTTTTAGAGAGAGGGGCACGGAAGGAGAAAGAGTGGGAGAGAAACATCCATGTGTGGTTGCCTCTCACACGCCCCCTACTGGGGACCTGGCCCACAACCCAGGCATGTGCCCTGGCTGGGAATCAAACCAGCGACCCTTTGCTTCACAGGCCTGCACTCTATCCACTGAGCCACACCAGCCAGGTTGAACCTCGGGTTTTCACTTTCAAACACAGTACCCTCCAAACCACATCTTAGGATTTGGGCTCAGGGTGGAGCACATTTGCAGTGGTTCCACGCACCCCCTTCCCCGCCGGAAGGAAGTTGGAGAATGTGAGCGGTTTTCCTCACGGCCCTGTCGGACCTTCCCTCTGTCACTTTGCTGTTTAAGGTCCCAGCCTGTGACCTGTCTGTCCCAGGTCCGCTGGTGCTTGTATCACAAACTAATGACTGAAGAACTGCGTAAGACTTGATTCAGTGTTTTCAGTGGCCAAAGACCACTTAAAAAGAAACGGTACAGGGGAACAACTGTCATCTTTGAAACCTCTGATCCTTGACCTTGCTGTGGTGACAGATGCCTCCAAAATGCCCTTGAAGTGTCCTTGGAGCACAGGGTTGTCTTCTCAGGGACTGGAAAATGACTGTTGTGTTTCAGAACAAGCACATATTATTTTAGTGTTTTCTGAAAGTGTTGGCCATTTCTGAGCAAGGGAAGCCTATATAAATGATTAGAACGGATTTCTATCTTTGTCTTGTTGACTTTGTGGCCTTCACATAGGCATATTGACTCAAAGGAAAGGCTTGTCATTTATAAATCCATTTAAGCCATTTAGCACAGTGCTTTGCCTAGAACTGATTGGATGATCGAAAGCCTGGCAGATCAAAGTATGTACATTTCCAAGGAGAAATACTTTATGTTCACATTGGAAGCAATAAATTATCCCCCCTTTTTTTTGCATTCATAAGTAAATCTTTCCAAATGCTAGAAAGTAGCCAGACCACTAACAATATTTGTATCATGTTCTGGGGCTTAGATGGTTCGACCTGGCTTGAAATGGAGACCATTTGTTCTAAATTGATTTCAATGCCAAGCCAATAGGTCAGCATTTAATGATGAAGATGCCGTTCCAGCCCGGCCTCTGGTGGATAAGCCAAAAGGAATTAGCTCAAGTCCCATTGTATAGAAAACAGATGCTTTTCCCCTGTTGCACAAACAAATGCTTTCAGTATAGATGCAGTTCTGCTCTGTTCAAAGAGTAACAAGTTGGAAGTTAAAATTGTACGTTTTTCACAACGGTGTCCGCCTTTGGTAGTGGTGACAGAAGCATGAATTTGCATAACAAATTCCAGCAAGTGCATGGAAAAATGAATTTGTCCTATCTCTTGTGTTGGCTCCAGGCCAGGCCTAGGAGGTTTAGTTCTAAATCTGGGCTGGTCCAAAATGCTGATCCATTTCCGAGCAGACCTGGGAGTTTCAGAACACTAAGGTTATTTGTAATCCCCAGAGCCCCCGGGGACCCCTCCCAGAGGTTTACATCTGCTCATGTGTTTGGATTCCTTTCTTTGGCCAGCTTGCAAATGGCCTAAGATTAGATTACTCCCTAGAGGGGAGTTGTTAGGTGCGCTGTTTATCTGCTTATCCATCTCAGCATCCATTCAGAATTAGAAGGCTTGCCATTCCCAGAGTCTGACAAGCTGCAAGAAGAACAACCACAGGCTTCAGATTTTGTCTCAGAATGAAGGGCTGCACCCTGAGGATGTTACCAACTAGTAATGTAACTCCAAATACAGTACACAGAAGGCGGTCCTCTGAAAATGTCTGCCGTTTTCTTTCTCCTGGACGAATGTGAAATAACCCACGTGTCCTTTCCCTTCCGCTAGGCTGAAAATGACGAGAACGGCCAAGCAGAAAACTTTTCCCTGGACCCCCAGTTGGAGAGGCAGGTGGAAACCATCCGCAACCTCGTGGACTCCTACATGTCGATCATCAACAAATGCATCCGAGACCTCATTCCCAAAACGATAATGCACCTGATGATCAATAATGTAAGTGGTTATAAAGCCTCTCCCTCTCACGCTGAACCCTTCCTACCTTGGAGACTGCTCTCATTCTCCTTGGTCTCCTTGTGATCGTTTCTGGACGGCTGGCATACCTGTTCACCAGGTTTGTCGTTTTCGACGAGAACAAGGAATTTCTAGCTACAGGACTGTGGTGTCCCCCATTGGCTATTTTCTACAGGAAGGTGTGACTTTGCTTATCAGAAAGCAAAGCATCGCTGTGGTCAGGATATAAATTAGTTGCAAAGCCAGCAATCAAACCAGGTGCCCTGGCTCCTGGACTTTGAGATTAAAGGCAAAAGATACTCATCCTTTTTCACACACACACACATACATGCAGTAGGTCAATATGATCATCTTCACCTGCTTAAAACGAGGGATCTCCGTTTTAACCTAGAGAAGGGCTTTGTGCCCTGTCCCCTTGGGTACAAAGTCAGTCTGCGCTAAAGTAAGGATGTCACAGCCACAGATCCGTAGCAGTGCCCTGGCACACCAGCCACCAGGGCATCTGCGTCATGGGGAATCTCCCGCTTTACATGGTTATCTTTATAGTAGTCAGGATACAATACTTACCTTATGAGGTCAGGGCTGGTAGCCCTGGTCTTTCGGTGGCTACTTCATTAATGTACAGATCACGTCACCAGTTATTTGAGGAAGTATCTTTGAGATGAGATAGGTTATAATGGGATATCGTGTAGCAGCCTCTCCTGACTCTCGAAAAGTGTGACACTGGCTCTTTTATTCCTACTTCTCTTCCCAGGACACCTGTATATTTAAACCAAAGGTAGGTTACGAGCATCCGCTTGTCACGAGTAACGTTCGGATGTAACATTCAGAGTGCTGAAAAGAGCCCCACGCTAAAATTCAGGAGAAACATGGACCCTGAACCCAGTGCTGCTACAGACTCTGCTCACCTAAGACAAATCACCGCACTTCTTGACATGTATTTCCTCCAGATGCAAAACACTAGTCGTACAAAAAGTACCTGGCTTAGGGGTCTGTTCTGGAAGATAGTATGTATGGGAGGACTATGAAGAATGTGATAGGAAGAAGCTAATGCGGCTGCCTGTTGAAGAACTAAAATAGCCTTTATGCCTATATCAAGCTTCCTTCCCAAATCATGTTTCTGGCAGTCGGTGTGCCTCCTGGCCTTGGCGTCCTTTGTCCGGAGGCCCAGGAACTCGCCTGAACCGTCTTGTGCTTAACCCTGTCTCCACGCGTATCTCATGTGTTCCGAGAAGGTTAGTGGGCTGCTCCGACCGCCAGCAGCAGGTTAGTGATCTGTTGACAGTTTGGAAACTCTGAATCATATTCCTGAGCTTGCTCAGTGGCCTGCTCTGTGACCCGACGCAAATCCTCTTGCCCGTCGGAGCCGGAGTCACTCCTAAGCCTCCCAGAATCATCAGAGAACATAATGAATGTGACTGTGTGCCATTTTGAAAAATAGAAAGCACTAAACCAATAGTCTGCGTGTTTTTTAAATTGCCCTCTTAACTCTGCCCAGACGAGTTCAGGTTGTTTGGCCACAGAGTGCGCAGGTCCTCGCTTATTTAAACAGTTCCCTGATTAGGTATCATTTATCTTCTCGCTGCCTTACCGCGAGGCATGAAGGCCGCCAGCAGCCCCACCGCCACTGTGCTCTGCGCTGGATTAAATCACCAGCACAGGAATGAGCACTTCCCGTCTGGAGCTTCGACGAGGAGCTGGACACAGACGAGTGGGAAGGAGGAAAGAGACCCTATTGCAAATCTGTTCCGCTTTCACCTTCTTGAGAAAAACACACGCATGCACAGGCAGGAACGTAGGGTGGTGGCCGCGGCCGGCCCCTCCCTGATGAGCTCGCTCCTTGTGCAAGACGGCCCAGCTCCACCTGCAGGGCAGCAGCCGTGGAGAGAGAGCTCTGCTCCGTGTCCTCAGAAGGGCCTCACGTGAGGCAAGGGTCAGGTCAAGGAGCGTGTGTACAGGGTCCATGGACAAGGACGACGGTGGGGGTGGAGTTGCACGTGGGAGGTAGGGGGTGGGCTGGGCAGGGCACAGCAAAAGGGGAACTACTGTAATTGGACAACAGTAAAAAAATACTGTGTCTCTTTTGACATTAAGAGAAAAACTGGAGTCGTGGGAGCGTGCACTGCAATGGAGGCTTCAGATAAGACTTCTAGGTCAAACCTCGACGCAGAGGCTCATGGGAACACAGAAGCCAAGGCATCATAAAATGCTGGGTCCTTCTCCAATTATGACTGCCTTTGTTTGAACTTCAACTCTTCAACCCTATCAGAAAGCAGTTTTACATGCCTAGATGCCTGCTTGCCTTTGAGTATGATTTTATCTGTTTTCTTACTCTTTATGTAAAAATATACAGGTACATATATTTTTTAAAAAATAATAATGTACATATATGTAATTAAGTATCTATAAAGATATAAATGCCGTTTTAAATGGACTCCTGCCCTCACCAAATCATATTGTACAGCCATCTGAGCCCTCCTCGGTGGTCATTCCAGAAGGGCCCCGTCGAGGACAAGGGGCAGAAACGAGGAGAATGGCCAGCGCTGTGTCTTGTGGGTGTTGTGGATTTTTTATTTGACTTGAAGGAAAGAGAGCTCCCAGGGGGAGAATTCATCAAAGAGTCACAACTAGAAAAGCAATACGTTGACTCCTCATCCTAAACGCCATCCACCCAGCCCTGCGGCGTCTCTGCACAGCTTCGGGTGCAAAATGAAGAATGGCGGCCTCCCCCGGTCCCCTCTTTACAACTGTCCCTGTCGAAAGCAGCGCTATGGCCTGTCCTCTTTGAAATGGGAACGGCCAGTCTGCCTCCTGAAAGGGAATATGTTTCAGCCAAGTTTCCTAAGGTTCAGAGTTTGGTGGGCAGCTTCCTTTGAAAGTTTACATTAAGTGTTCTGCCACTCAAGCCTCCATATGGAATTGTTTAAGAAGTTTAAAGCCAGCAATAAATGCCTTGCCTCAGACATACTGTAAGCCTTTGTCTGCTGAAATGGAGCAGCTGTTTCATTGCTTAAACGTACCAGGTAACAGCAACACAAGAAACAGCAAGTTTATGACGGGCCATTGCTCGGGCCCGGCTGCAGTCCAGAGCGGCTTCAAGGTTAATGCGCGTATAAAGCCCCACGGCGCGCGTGTTGGGGCGGCCTCATCGCTGTGGCTCCCCAACCAGGAGTGTCCCACCAGAGAATCAAGAAAGTGGACACAGCTTTGTCCCACGAGCACCTGTGCCCGAGAGGCACGTGGTGCCGTGAGTGAGCCCACAAAACAGCCACACGTTGGGGACTCACCGCTTTGCCCAGATTATAACTGACGACATTGAGGCTTTGGGTTGGGGAGGGGGTGCTTGCTTGGGGTCTTACCCCTGGGGGGCTGGCAGACACAAGACAAAAACCCACATCTTTCCGTGCAGTCGAACAGTCCCCCTCGACGACAGCAAGTGCGCATGCAAGGTTAGGAACACCTCAAGTCTGCCTCTTCAGAGCCGGGGGCCCCTGTCCCCTTTTCCCATACACGGGTATCTTCCTATAGGTGGTGTGGAGATTCAATCAGGCTGTGTTTAAATACGAGAGACGATGGTTTCCATCCAAGTAATTTAAAACACTGCTTCTCGTATTGTTTCAACAAGCCCGGGTAGTACAAAATAAATAGAGTGTGAAGGTTTTGTGAAACTTTGGAAGAACCTGGAGGCGTGCGTTGCACCCTGGGACCAGGCACGGCAGGCTGCCTCCCGGAAACCTGCTGTCCCTGTCCCGGACACCGGTGGACAATTGGTAACATGTGCCCTCGTTTCAAAACCAACTGTAACTTTAATGCCCGTGGACTGGAGTTTTACTTTAAATGTTCATGATTTGAGAGGAAAGTGTGTCTTAAATACCAGAGCAGTGATTCGTTTCCACGGGTCCGGAATTCGGCATCCGGCTGCACAAACAGACCCACTGCCTGCACCCGGAAGCCCCCCACCCCGCTCCCCCCACCCGACCCCCATCACCTGTCCCCACGCGTAACGCTCCTGACATCTCACACTGTAGATTAGGCCTGCCTGGTCTTGAATTTTGGAACCTCACAACCTTTTTGTTTCTGATTTTTTTTTTTGTACAACATGGGTTTGTGAGTCAAAGGATATGACTTTTGAAAGAACTTTGTTGGTCTTTATCCAAACTAAATCCCTGGGAGGTAGAGAAATGAGAGAATTGTGAGTTCTCAAAGAATCACAAAATCCTAACCAAGCTCCCCTCCAACACGGAGCATCGTTAACCTTTTCAGTCACGTTTCCACGCGTGTCTTTGTGTCAACGGGGGCCCCGGCTGTGCTCCACGGGGCCTTCCTCCCATCTAGAAACTAAGAGATTTTTGGGAAAGGGTCTCCTCAGTGCCTGAGTTGTATGAAGGCTATAAAACGGTCTCAGTGATAAAGACAAAAGGGGCCAAGATCCAAAAATGGTGCCGGTTGCTAGAGAGGGGTTAACGCCAGAGAGGAACCACACGGAGCAGCATTAATGACCTCACACCAAGCCAGCGACCAGCAACTATGCAGCGCAGTGACGCCTGTGTATCAGCCCCGGGGACTCAGAGCTGCCCTGAGGTTTTGTGTGTGAGCCACACAAAGGTGCATAGGCTCTAAGGTGTTTTAATTAAAAGCATAAATCTTACTGTACATCTCACATCCAAGTCTAATTTGTTTATGTCGCATTCTGCGAGGGTATTTTCCACATGTGCTCCTCCAAAAGGGGCCCTGGCCTCTTAACTTGTCGTGAAGAAGCCTTGATACAAATGTTTGTCCCATTGACATCCAAACTGCTCAGAAAGTCCCTGAAGTGTCTGGAAACTCCCCGAGACGTCTCTCCCCTCCCACCCAACCCCCCAACAAACTAGCAGGAGAGAAAGAAAGGGGTCTTTTTAAAATTTTGCTGAGGTGCAGGGTAAAATATCAACTTGTGTTCTGTGCTGAACTGTCACCCAATGCCCGCACCGTGGTAGCAGCTCTGCGTGGGTTCTCCTGCCCCCGCCTGCCCGTGCGGGTCTCACCGGTGTGCACAGCAGCAGGTGCTGCTTCGGTGCGTGGAGCACTGGGCACACAGTGGGCAGCGTGACGGGTAATTTCACTCCATCCTCGCATGACTCTCGGGGCAGCTACCACCGTTGTCCTCACTTTACAGAAAGGGAACCTGAGCCTCATCAAAGAGGCTGAGTTATTTATGCAAGGACCGGGCGTGTCCAGTCTCAGGCTGGGCCGCAGAACGGTCCGATTCTGAAGCACAAAGTCTGTTTTGCCCCTGTGCTCTGTCGCCACTTTCTCTCCTGCTCGAAGCACTCAGATGAGTCCAGAAGATGGGCCAGTCTTGGGGGCCTCCGCCAAGTGTTGGTGTGGACCATCTCAATGTGGAAGAGTTGAGTCCAGGCAGATCTTTGACCCTCGAGTTGAAACAGGCCCTTCCTATGTTACTTTGTGGTTGGTTTGACAGTGGCTTCTTCATTCAGATCTGTTTTAAATCTATTCTTGGAAGGATCCTCTTTTAAATTGCATTTAATAGATTCTAAGTGATACTCCAGTAAGACGTAAAGCTTCCAAAGAGCTTAACCAGCCGGTGGCCGATGCCAGGAAAATTGTCTGGTTTTGAACTTGGACTTGCATTGTCCCTCCAAGTGCATGCACGCCCAGCAGTGGAAGGTTTGTGCAAATGCCCGTGACTCCTTGGGAACCTGCAAGTGTGTTTACAAGTCAATAAATCTTTCGGCCCAATTTACTGACTTTTCTCAAAGTCTGACTTTTCCTTCCTGACTTCCGCTTTTTTCTCCTCCCACTCACCCAAACCTCAAGGCTTCAGGCTCTTTTCTTGCTTGCTCTTCGCACCCAAACAAGCCAAGCTGCTTCCTCCCCGATGCTGTGATCGGTACGTGCCTATCTTTTCCATTCCACCGCGACCTTGTGGCATTAAACCCTGTCGTCTCACTGATGACCTATGTTTATCTCCATTTGCAGATTCCTTCCCCATCACGGCCAGATTCATCCCCCTAAAGCTCTCTTTTATTGTTTCACTTGCTTAAGCACTAAAGAGCCTTCCATGGCTCCCCATTGCCAAGTGGATAACGTTCAAACACTTTTCCTTGGCATTGCAGGCCTTTGCATCTGGCCCCCAGCTACCTGGCCAAAGTTACCTTCCATAGCTATCACAGACAGCTGTCTCAATACTTCTTGTGTATTAAATTACTTCCACATTTGAACCGCTCTGGGTTTACAAAATAAGGGCAGAGGACATTTTTTTTTTCGCAGTGAAACTGTGATGTAGCCAAGTTTTCTGAGTCGTAGAACTTTCTGCATGGTTAGACACCATTACAAAATCACGAAGCTATGTTAGACTCTTGTCGTCTCTGAGGCACACATTGAACGACAACCCAGGAATTTTCAGGGCCAGACAGGTGTTCCGTCTGCCTGGGTTTGCAACAGTGAAACAGCCTGGTCTTGGCCTTTCCTTGAGAGACTCGGTGCCTCTGGATAAGTGAGAGCTTCCTCATGTAACAGAGACACTGAAAACTCCCAGTTGGTCTCTTCTTCTGCGCTCATGTTAATTCACGTGCTGGCTCCGCCAGTCTAAAATAACGGTACTTCACAGAAATGGTCCCTTCTAAGCCCCCCATCCAAGTGGAGTGAGGGCATAATGGGAAGAGCACTAGAGGTCGAGTCCGAAGTTTGGGTTCCAGTGAAGGTGCGACTTCGGGCGAGTCACTGAAAGTTCTTAAACTTCAGTGTCTTCATCTGCAAAACTAGGATAGCGATATATTTCCCAGGAATGTGTGTGGCGAGAACCATCAGACGGCTTTTGAAGGCGCCTGGGACACTCAGTGTGTGGTCACTTCTCACGCTCATTTCTTCCCCGTTGAACATTCCTGACCTGAAGACAGATGCCTGTTCCACTCAGTGGCATCTTGGCTTTTTGGTATAGTATTTTTTTTACTGTATTTTTCCATTACCATTTATCCCTCTTAGACCACCATCTCCTCGCCATCACCGAAGTGCTGTCTGTGTCCTTGAGTCCTTTTTCCTTTTTGCTCAAGTCCCTCCACCCCGGAGCTGTCATCTGCTCTCTGTCTAGGAGTCTGTCCCCATTTTCCTTGTTAGCTCAGTTAGTTCATTAGGTTCCACAGATGAGTGAGATCACACAGTATTTGTCTTTCTCTGACTGGCTTATTTCACTTAGCATAATGCTCTCCAGAGCCATCCATGCTGCCTCACAAAGTTTTAATTGGTGGTGGGTTTGTTGTTTTTTTTTTTCTGTAGCACATAAAATAGTGGCGTGTCTTAAAACCAGTGGTATCTTGGACGTTGTGACATGTGGCAGCTGGCTCTCCCTCCCTCCTTGCTGTGCCCCGCATAGATTGCTCATGATGTAGTCTGCTTTTACCTGTCAGCCACAGAGCCGCTAATCAGTCCTCATTCCCGGGAAGGAGTTCGTCCTGTAAACTTGTGGAAAGTGGAGGCTGTGTCATTTTCTTGGTAAATGAACTCACACAATGATACATGGCTCTGCACTCACTACTCATGGTAGTCCCACTTCTGAGCATACCTTGAAACCTGTGGTCTTCGCTGAGTTCCAGGGACTTTGGTAAAAGCTCGGGGAGGGACCGGCAACGCTGGGGAATGGATAACCTGCGTCAGGACAGAGGCTCTTTCCCGTTGGAGCTGCCGCTGCTGCCTGCCAGTGGCACCTCCCTGGTCTGGAAGCCAGGCAGCCCCAGGCAAGGCTGTGGACGCGCTGGGCCAGCCGCAGGCCCTGCTTGGTGACCGCAGCATGGGGCTCTTTTTTCAACCAATCCGAGCTATGCTCTCCTTTCCTGTCAACAGCCCTGGGTCAGGGGAGGACTCACCGGCACGGGTCCAAGCATTAGGAGGAGGATGAAGACAGCGGGAGTGAATAGGTGCCCCACAAGGCCCTTTTCCCAGGGTGGTCTTTTGCGGACTCTGTCCACAGGCACTGACCCAGTCCCCGCCATCCGATCACCCACTGACCCCTGTTCCTCTTCTCTGTGGTGGCCGACAGGTGAAAGATTTCATAAACTCGGAGCTCCTGGCCCAACTGTACTCTTCTGGGGACCAGAACACGCTGATGGAGGAGTCGGCCGAGCAGGCTCAGCGCCGGGACGAGATGCTGCGCATGCACCAGGCCCTGAAAGAAGCCCTCGCCATCATCGGCGACATCAACACCTCCACAACCTTCACCCCTGCCCCGCCTCCCGTGGATGACTCCTGGATCCTGCACTCACGCAGGTAAGAGGGTGGCCTGTGGCCCCCCGATGCCTGCCAGGCTGCGTCGGTGTCGTTCGCTGCGAGTGCTCCCCTGGACCTCACTGGAAAAGAAGAGGAAACTGTATATTGAAGTTCAGGAACCAGAGAGAGGAGGGTCAGATCATCCCGACTCCTGTTAAAAATAAGCACAACACCTCCGTCTGGTGGAATATTACACAGCTGTTAAAAAGAGTAAGACTGTTCTCTAAGTACCAGGATGAAAAGATAGTCAAGTTTTTGTGAAGCTCATGAGAAAAAAAATTATAGAATCTATATAGAGAGAAACGAGTGTAGAATATAGTTAAAAAGAAAGTACTCTTGGCTGCCTCTGCAGAGTGAAGGGGTGGGGAAGGGAAGTTTCCTTCTCACCATTTACACTTTTATACCTTTTAACATTCCTAACATGGATCTAAGCATCCCCGTCAAGAAATAACTTTTAGAAAGCAACCAGGAAGTTATAAACTATTTTTGAAAGATGAATTCGGAGAGAACGCAGGAGTGGGTTAACTGCTGGCCTCTCTCCCCAGGTCACCCCCGCCGAGCCCCACCACCCAAAGGCGGCCGACACTGAGCGCCCCCCTGACCCGGCCTGCGTCAGGCCGAGGGCCGGCTCCCGCCATCCCCTCCCCGGGGCCCCACTCGGGGGCGCCCCCCGTTCCATTCCGGCCGGGCCCGTTGCCTCCCTTCCCCAACAGCAACGATGCGTTCGGAGCCCCTCCGCAAGTCCCCTCTCGGCCCACCAGGGCCCCTCCCAGCGTCCCCAGGTAAGTGTGCTTGCTTTGCAGAGGACAGTGTGGGGTGCTCTTCGGTTCTCTTCTCGCAGCACGACAGACAAAAGGTACTGGAAAAAGAAAATTGCAGAGATGTTGTCGTCCATGTTTGCAGTTTTCATCTGGGAGGGGAATCCTGGGGAAATCGCTAAACTTCTACGCCGTTTAAAAGCCAAAATGTGGTCTAAACCTCTCCTTTATTGTCTGGAGCAAACTGGGATCCGAGAAACCTGGGTCCAGATGATTGACATTTTGGCAGCTGTTTGTAGAATTTGTTAGAAAGCTTTGACATGAAGGAGGCAAGCTGCGCGCTCCAAGGTCATGAGCGTATCACCCGCTAGCCCTCGCCTTCTCTGTTACCAAAGGGATTCTCATAAACCACTGACTTCAAGGAATATTACCCATCTGCCCTCTGAACTATGACCCTTAACCCCAACACCATTAGCATTAATGTAGGCAGAGTAAAAATCTGGCTGATTAGTCTGCAATTTTTTTGTTCTTTAAACCATGCCTGGAAATGTTACGAAGGTGTAATGGCTGCTGTGTGCGGTCCCTGACCACGGTGAGGTCGGACCCTGTGCATTTGAATAATACATTTTGGGATTCACATGCAGATTTTGAACCTTAACTGTGACACAAAGCAGCTGGTAGACAAATGGAGCTCAAAACATGCATATAGTTAAAGCTAGATTCTCACCTTCCTGCATTTAAAATAAAAAAGGTACAGGGTGAATAATTAGAGATTTTGCAAATAGAAGGAGTTAGATGTTTGAAATCAGTAAGAGGGACTTTAAAAGGAAAGAAAATTAGCCTGTATAGAAAGTTAACCTTTAAAAATTCAACTCGGAGGGTTAAACTATTTGTGGGTCCCCTGAGGAAGACCATACTGTGCACATAGCAGAAGCGACTTGCACTCGCCCAGGAATCCAGGGTCCCCTCGCCGTCTGATTACTGCGCTTACGTGCGTTTGGATCTTCAGAGTGTCGAGTGCCATGAACCCGGGGGCCTCAGAAACTAGTGGACTGAGGCCCTGGAGCAAGAAGTGTGGGGTGAGGGGTCAGGCCTACTTTGCCACAGACCCTGGGCAACTAACTCATTTGCCTCTAGGCCAGGACATCCTCACCTGTGAACTAGGGGCAGATTCCACCAGGCCATTGCCCAAATCATGTGAGACAAGGTGTTTGAAAATGTCCGATAAACTGGCCAGCCCTGTGGTCATTACCTTTACCATCATTTTGGTCCTCATCAAAGAGGATATTTGCATTCTCAAACCTATATATTTTTTTCTCTAAACCTAACAGGGTTGACTTATATGGTCATTTATTTGGAACTGAGCAAAGTCTCTAGTAAGAGCGGCAGTAACAAGAGTAGCTCTCATTTAATGTGCTGTCAGGACATCCAGCCTCTGCCTTCACTGCTTTGCAGGCACGTTCGTGTCTAACCCGACAGACCCAGCGAGATGGTACATTCTGCACTTTGCAGACAGGGCACATGGGGGAAGCAGCGTGGCTGAGGCCGCCCCACCAGGCAGGCCCTGGAGGAGCCTGGCTTTGATCCCAGGCAGCCTCACTGCCGAGCTGCACCCCCCACCCACACCACCAGGGCCCTCAACCTCGACACTGCTGACCTTTTGGTTATAGGGTGCTGCCCTGTGCGTTTTAGGATGGGTAGCAGCATCCTGGCCTCTGCCCACTAGATGTCAGTTGCACTCCCCCTCGTGACCACAGAACACGTCTCTGGGCACGCTCGGTGCACGGGGTGAGGAAAGACTGAACCCCCTGCCTCTGAGGAGGATTCCGAAGGCTCCCCCTTGTGCGTAAGAAAACATGCGTGTCAGCACCAAGCCTCACTGTGGGCCAGATTAAGTTCTTGTTTTAGGAAACCTCAACTTGCCTGGACAAGTACCTCTCATTGTGCCAGGAAGGTAAGGAGGGCGCTGGGGGCGGGCTGTTGGAGTAGGACGGCGGGGGTCCCATCCAGAAGCCTGGGAGTTGGCCCTTTTGTCTGTTGAGCTACGAGAAGGAACCAGAGCCACCAGTGGTGCTCATCCCCAGGATGGTCGTGCATGTCTTTGCCTGCTCGCTTGTCTGCCTCTGCTCCTGGCTGCAGACACGCTGCCCTGCCAGCGCCCCTCGGAGACACTGGGCCATCTAAATGGGTGTGGGGGGGGCGGGGGGCCCCGAGCTTGCACATGGACTTCGTGGTGAGAATCCGTAGCCTCAGCTGGAAAAAAGGGGGCACCAGCTTCCATGCATCCGCATTGGGGAATTTATAGGACAACAGTTATGTTATTTAGACATTCAAGAACATTCTCAAGGTAGAGCCATACTTAACTTGATCTGCCACTGCAGAGTCTCACATGTGAAAGAGAAATGAGAACTCAGAGTGGAAGGGGAGAGTGTTTTGTGCTGAGCCCTCCAGTTTCAGGCCAGTTCGCTCACATTGGGACAGACGTCCCTGTGGGGGGGTGGGGGGCACCTGAGAGAGCAAGAACAGCTTTGCTGGGTCCTTGTGCCTGCTCAAGTTTAGCTTTAGATGGAGAATTCTGACCGCATAAAGTCTGTTTTTAATAAAAGTCAGAGCAGGAATCCTACCAAATGCAAGCCAGAAATGGGGTTTAAGATTTCAACAACACAAAAAAAGAAACAGAGAGAGAGAAAGAAAGAAAGACAAAGATGAAAGAAAGGAGAGAGAAAGAAAGAAAGAAAGAAAGAAAGAAAGAAAGAAAGAAAGAAAGAAAGAAAGAAAGAAAGAAAGAAAAAAATGAAAGAAGAAAGTTAGTTGAGGGAAGCTCTTGTTGAAATTTCACCTTGTTCTATTTATTTATATTTTCTCTTTTCCCTCCTTGATTTGTTACACTGTCTCTATTAAAAACTTCATAAAGTTGAAATGCCATTATCCATCATCTCCAGGAAAACAACCCTTAGCTTTACAAGAAGGAAGCTTGATTCCCACCCTCCACCCCCACCCCCACCCAGTTCTTTGCTTTGTTAGGGGCCCTTTCTCCTCTTTTATCTGGAACCAGAAACTCCTAAGGTGACAAGACAGCACAGCTGGGGTCCCGCTGGCTCCCAGCAGGGCTTTAACATCCCAAAAGCCATAACTGAACCTTTGGAAGCCAGCAGCTCTCCCACTGGGCATGAGCCTGTGCAGTTTTCTTCTGGATAATCCGAGACTTCATTAGCAAGTAATGACCTTGACTTTTAAGAGCCTATATACTTTTATTTTAACCCAGTTCAAAGGTATTGGACTTGTACAGAAACCACGAGCATTCTGAGTTTTGTTTCGTTGTTGCTTCTGAGATGATGATTCCCTCTCTCCTTGCAACGTGAAGGCACCGGAAAGGCAGGCTGGTGGAGTCATCTTTGGCCCAGAGCTTCCCCGCTTCCCAAGCTGTTCTGGTTTATGTGCGCGAAGCCTTTCAGGGAGGGAGCTGGAAGTACTGCAGACTGCGCGCCTGTTTTAATTAATTCCACCCGAACTTGGGGAGCGTCTCAGTCCCAGGGAGACCCACCAGCCTGGATGCTTCTGTCGTTAGTCATTCGCGTGCACGCAGGTCCAATTTGCGGGATGGTCTCCACCGCCCGCACAGTCGGGTTGCCCATCGCCCCACACGACTCTGGTGAAGGGGCTCGACCTTGTCTGAAAAGCCCCGCCAGTGGCATCAGCAAGGTGCTCTCAGACATCCCCACCTCCTCGGGGGTCCTGTTCTCTTTCTTCCTGGGAGCTCCCGCTCTTCTTCGCCAGGCACTTGAGGGCTGATGTAGCTATTTTCGGTTCCAACTTGGTAAAATTAGTTAATTGGGAATCTCAGCCTTGGACATCGATGGAACAAATGAACTGAATCAGCGTGTGTTTTTCCTGGCAGCAGCCGATTCTGGCATTATTTCACTCATTTGTCTTCCCCCCTTTCCCCGGGCTGAGCTGTTTTGCAACGGTCAGAAGGGGATGGGGCGGGAGGAAGGGTCCCTCTCCAAGGAAAAGCAAACTTCATTGACCTCCTCACTCCACCTTCTATTTTTAAGAATGTTGAAAAATAGACAAACTGTCTTGCAACCACGCTCCTCACCGAGGCTGGTGATGTCTTTCGAAAATGGCAAAACTGAATCATAGGAAAAGGTTTGGCTCGTCCTCCAGCTCAGCCACGTGACAGGAACGCGGCCTGGGAACCCGCCACGGCTCCCCTCAAAGTCTCTGAGGAGCCCCCCCTGAGGCAGCCGGTGTCCTGTGCTGCACAGATGGCCCTGGGTCCCCACGTAGGTTCCGTGACGTGGGCGGTTTCCCTGACTTTGCAGGGCACACACGGAGCCTCATCACAGCCCCCCATGCTGGGCAACTTAGCACTAAACCACCACGGCAAAGGCAGAGAAATTCCCTCCACCTAGAGACTCATATGCTGTTCTTTGCAGAGATAAAAGCCATTCGGGTCTCTTCGCCATTTAACCTGGTTGCAAACATCTGGCCTGGATACTCTGCCGGGTTCTATCTCCTTCACTTGGTTTCTATGTCGATTCGATTCACAGGTAACGCAGAGTCCCTTTCACTTCCGGCCAAGGGCTCCTTCTCCTGTTTTGTTATTTCACCCATCCCCGCAGAGTCTGAGTAAGGACGAGCCCGCAGTGCTTATGAGTGTGTCTTTGCATCCCTAACCTCAAGGTTTGGCGCCGTGAAGGGTGAAGCTGCCGAACCTTGACCTCGGGGCTCAGGTCCACGGACAGTTGAGCGGCTCACGTGCCCGGCCTGTGTCCGACGCCCCCGCAGTCATGTCCTGGGACCGACCCGACCTGCTCCCTCCAGCACAGCCCGCCTAGAGGGTGACTCCTCTAAGCAGCTGGGGGCCATTCCGACAGATGATGAATTTGTCTTGTGATTCCTCTTTCCCCACCCCTCCCCCTGTCCTTCCCCTTCAAAGAACAAACAAATAAATCCGCAATTAGGTATTTGGAGTGTTCAGGGAACAGTTTTTATTTTCAGCAGAGATTTTTTTTGAAAGG